GCGACACTGGTCAGGCCGCAGCTGGAGTACTGCGTCCAGTTCTGGGCGCTGCACTTCAGGAGGGATGTGGCCAATATGGAGAGGGTCCAAAGAAGGCCACCCACATGATCAGGGGTCAGCAGGGCAGGCCCTACGAGGAGAGGCTGAGGGACCTGAACCTGTTCAGCCTCCAAAAGAAAAGGCTGAGAGGGGATCTAGTGGCAGTCTACAAAATAATCAAGAGGGACCAACAGGCATTGGGAGAGTCCCTGTTCCCCCAAGCACTCCCGGGAGTTACAAGAAACAACGGACACAAGCTAGCGGAGGGTAGTTTCAGGCTAGACATTAGGAAGCGCTATTTCACTGTCAGGGCGGCTAGGACCTGGAACCAACTTCCAAAAGAAGTGGTGCTGGCTCCTACCCTGGGGGTCTTTAAAAGGAGGTTGGACGAACATCTGGCCCGGGGTTGTTTGACCCAAATCACCATGGGGGGAAAACGTTCATCTAATATACAAAGAAACCTCCTTAAATACATTATTTATCATTCAACTGCTGCCAAAAGTAGCATTTGCTCAGCAATGGAAACCAACTATGAAGTTGATTGAAAGCAGCCAATACTGAACATGACTTTAAAACACTTGGCCCATATTGGGCAAACATACTAATGGGAACCTCCTACAAGGAAAGATTAATGCAGCACATCTGAATAAAATGTATGTGAGTGCCCATTGTGTGTGATCCCCCTCAGTGCCAACTCTTTTTCAAGTCATGGTGAGCCACTACACTGAATACATTTCAACTTCCCCTTCACTCCCAGAGCTGAGCAGTGCCTGCCTCTCCCATTTCCAATGATTCTTGTTTCTTTACCAGCCTTAAATGTCTGGCAAGCATCACCAAATAGGGCCCCAAACAGATTTATCTTCCTTGTTGTAACAGTGGGAGGGTGACATATTCAAGGTAGACTTCCAATAATCAGATTCTTCACCTGGAAATTCATAACAAATTTATAAATTTTCCATATATAGAATCCAATTATTAAGGGGTCATATTATATTCATGGCCATCTTGTATTTGAGTAAATATAATACAATCTAAATGCCAGTAAATGTCCATTTGAAACCAAAGTTGTTTTAGGTTCAAAGTGAAACAAAATTCCCTGCTGAAATTTGCCAAACAAGGATGGATTTCTTCATCTTCGTCTTTTCAAGCTTCTCATTGACTTTTGAGCAAGGAAGCTTCTGTCCAAGTTCTAGAAGGAACTATCCTGACCTCTACAATCACTTACAACACCATCCTATCATTGGGGATGCTACAGAGCAAAATAAATCCCCAGTTACTGGGTCAAAATGAAAACCCTCTGCTATCGCAGGTCTGGCAATAAGGGAGCTTACTGCATTTTCTCACAATTCATATATGAGTATGATAATGATGAAAGCCAACAGAAAAAGGTATTATTTTCAATTATTTACAATCAATAGCTACCAGCAGCTTTGAATCTTTCATCCAAATACTCCAGACAATTAAACAGCTGTAAATCATACTTACTATTCAGACCTTCTTTGTTAACTATAGTGCTGCTTCCAAGTGCCTCATAATACTGCTGGTTACTCATCAGTGTATGCATGCCAAGAATAGCTACATTAAAAAGAAAGAGAATAAAAATGAGTTATTGCAACCCCTCTCCTGGGAAAAAGATGGATCCTGGCAAAGCCTCACATCCATGACTGCCCAGAAATTATTTAAAATTCTATTTCAGCATTAAGTAATTTTCTTTTGTACACTGAAGAGCCAAGAAGACAGCATCTGTGCCCCTGTTCTGAGAATCAGACCCAGCTGACATTAGGTACTGATAGCACTGTGACCCTGTAACCAGCATGTCCCATTGCATGTTACATCAAGGTAGCACAAACTGTTTATGGAAAGGTACATGCATCAAGAAAGCAATCAGTATATTAATTCCAGAAAATATTAAATGGATAGTCAGCATGGGAATGGTTACCCAGGAACAGAGTGGGATGGACGATCTGAGCTGTAGCCTGACATGAAAGTGAGAGGAAGAATAAACATCAGAAAACACAAGCATCCATGCTCCAAAGTAGCGAGCCTTGCAGAAACCAGGCTGTGCGATTTCAACACCAGACAGCAGCATGGAACACAGCACATTCAGCAGGAGAATGAGACATTCCCACCCAGTCAAGTACAGAACAACATACTCATCCTAAAGTGTAGCAGCTTTTTGCTTCCATGCATTCTGTTTGTACCCCAAAAAGAAAACTAGAGGGACAGCTTGGAATTTCTCTTTGTGCTTTAACATGTTGCAGTAGAAAACTGGACTGCAAAACCCTGATGAAGAGCTGATGTCCCTGTTGATTTACTCAAGGCAGAAAGAAAAACAGTATAAACAGAATTAAAATGCAGCAAGAACACAAACCAAATGTCAGATTTCACTCTAGTTTTCTGAATCAATGTACAAATGGAGACACAGACATGCCCCTCTGAATTTGCCCATGTTCTCTAATTTTAGCAGTCCAAGAGTTAAATAAATAGCACAAAGAAAACAGAGGCAACCAGCCAAACAAATATTTTATAGAAAAATCCTGCTGCTCAGAAAATCCATTTTGGGAAAAAAATGTTAAGGATTTAGAATGTTGATTTTATATTAAATGTTATAGATGTGTGTATGAACACTCGTATTCAGGCTGGATATCTCACTAGAAAAAAGAACAAGTCTTTACCTAAAATTAAAACAGAGGTGAACCTACAGCAGGGTCCCCAACCTGGTTATGTCTCTTGCCTCATTCCATGAGCTGCTCTTCTAAGCTCTCCCTGGCATCAGCAGCAGAGCTGATGAATCATCCCTGTTTTGCATGGTATTTTGGCCAGAGATCTAGAAATCTCAGGGTTCTTGATACAGACCAGATCCTGAGGACTCCAGCTCACAAAAATAATTTCACTATTGTGAATAGCCCCATTGAGTTTATTGGGACTGCACACCTGGGTACAACTATAAGCGGCAAGTGAGTATCCATAGAATTGGGATCTCCATGAATATGACTTAGAGGTCTTCTGCTGGGACCAGATCTTGTATTTCCTAACAGGAAATACAAGAGGGATCCATCTGAAGGTTTCATTGTGCATCTGAACTGTGAAGTGCTTTTCATAACCAAAATACCTGTTCTGTTACATAGGAATGGCCACATTTCTATAGGTGCTAGGATAAATAACTGCTGACTTAGAACTACCAATATCCACAATTTAATTCATTAGGACATTTACATCCCTGATTCCACTTGCAAATTGGGTATATGGATGTCCTGTGACCTGAAATGCAGGTGCAGATAATTACTATTGTGAACTTGCACATGTAACTATGCTCTGGATTTGCACCTGCAAGCAGGAAAATTGCTGGCTGGAGACCTGGACCTTCTCACATATTAAACCAGGGCACAACATAGAGAGCAGCATATCATCATAAGTGAAGGGAGATTCCTACATGCTTGTGTTCCACTTTCTGTACAGAGGCAGCAGGAAGACAAATGACGCAGGCCCAGAAGTAAGTTTCCCAAGGTGTGGGCTACATAAGGAGAAGACGAAAAGAGGTACGAAGGGACAGATAGGCTTGATTTATTTCTGGGAGAATGTGATTAATTATAATGTCCATTATTCTTTTTGATTATGAACTGATTTCTGTTAATTGTTCTCATGGGAAAGGCATTGTATAAATGTTTATGGTTATCTAAAAAATATTAGGTCATGGAGGAATTAATAGAGACATGGAATGTATAGCCTCAATAATCCAACAGGGTTTGCCCCTCAAGTGACCCTAATGTACTAATGTATGCAGTGTGCTCTATATCCAGGCAGAAGTTATTTAACAATCTCAAATTTAGTTACTATCAACACTGAGGTTCAGTACAAGTTGTACTGTACCAGGTCTTCTTTGGCTACTTTCTCGGATATATAATCTTGGCAATATATATAGGATACTTGCACCGAAGAATCGTGTACCCTAGAATTTGCTATGAAGGAAAAAGGCAGCTTTCAAAACAAAGCAATCAGCACTGGGAGATGGGAAGGAACCCCCTGCTCTGGAGTTTAAAACGCCATAT